TGGTATGAGGCTCTCACTGGAGATTGGATGGCCTTTCTGGGGCTTGTTATTTACACACAAAACACAATATCCCCTTCTATGGCCCTGTCACTCCAAGTAGAGTCTTGCGCCCTGTGAGGGGGCATCTCCAGCACTCCTCTGCCGCCCCCCCTTGCCTCTTAGCACCCCCCTGCCACCCCCTTGCTTCTTAGTGGCCCCTTAAGTCATACCACTACCCTCAGGGGGCAGTACCGCCCACTTTGGGAACCACTGTTATAGACTATAACACTTTACAACATTGGTTTTTTTTGAGCAGTGGAGTGAGATTTTCTTTTTCTTCTATAGCAGAGGAAGAACCAGAGCTACTTAAAAGGGGAAAATTCTAGTGGTCATTTCAGTTGTCACTCTGTTTGAATCTTAAACAAAGTGTTATAGTGACTTTTTCTGCAAATAGCAAGTAGTCATTTGACATTTATCTAAAGAAATTTAGAGAACATCCAGATCAGAACAGTCACATTGACTCAAGAGAAGATAAACTATCCATAATAGGAAAAATGTTTTTTAATGGGTTAAATTAAAATTACAACTCCTCTTTCCTTTGAGCTAAAAACACTATAGTAAAATTTTATTAATTTTCTCTAGAGTCCATGGAGTGGTTTACTTATCAATTATCTGGGCTACTAAATAGGAGAACCATTATCTTAAATAAGTTTGCTCAAAAATAGCCCCCAACGATTAAAGTAGATAGACTGAAATACATTAAGAATTCATTAGAATAATCCTACCCTTCTCACCTTAATGTTTTTAAAAGATGGCTGTGTTATGATTCTGGTTGTTTGCTTCTTATATGTTTCTAGCCTTACAATATTTTTCTCAAAATGGGACAGCTGTGCACAGTCCCCAAAAGAGTAAATGTTACACCAATGTATATTCTTGTACATTTGATATTATTCATTTAAACCATAAACAGAATTACCAGTTACATATTTATGGCTGCTATTTCTTTAAAAATGCAGCTTGCTTTATGACCTGTAACATTTTTAGGAGTATAATTTGCCCCAAGATTTTAGTTTTTTCCTTTTTTTTAGGAGTATAATTTGTCCCAAAATTTTAGTTCTTTCATTTGAATTTTTTAAAAGCAATTTTCTATGAAGCACTGATTCAGATACTTTCACTTTGAACTACGTAATACCAGCACCACTTTCTAAACAAATATTCTTATTTAATTATCAGGCATAATAGTTCTAATATGTTTTTCTTCATTACTGTACATTTATGTGTGCACGATTGCCTTTCCAAATGTTGAACTAAATTGTGTTGTTCAGTATAAGTCAGTAGTTAAGATTCTGAAATCTCAAAGGATGTATATTTGCTATTTTGATAAGGAGACAGATTCTTCTTGTTCTAGCAATACTTGGTCTGGGTAGGTGTGTACATATATAAGGACAATGCTGTTTATATCACAGAAAAGTAGCAAAATAGACATGCCATAAAGAATTCTTTGGGGGGAAACTGAGGGGGAGGAGAATGTGTGTCATCATAATAAGATTTTTCTCAATGCCCCTTTGCTACTGTACAAGAAAATGTTAATGAGAGGCTTCTTTTTCAGCAGGAAAACATTTTTTCCCCATATACGAAGGACTTGTTGAAACGGTTGTTTCTTTGTGGGCCAAGTTCATTTCTCATGTGGTGGCTTGTAGTCACTCTGTCTGGGGCAACAGACAATTAACAATGGTTAATATTTGAAAAGGTACAATATGTTCTGTGTAACCAGGCTCATTTCCTTTTCCTAATAGCTTGATTGCTCTTGCGGGTTTCTGAAGATTTTTATTTACCTAATTAGACCACAAGAAACAATGTCATTAATATTCAAACTCTGACACATTTTGCAAGTAGAAACAAAAGTTAAGCCTTAGTAACCTATTAACTGTTCACTTTTTAAAGGTCAAAGTACTTGATTTGAGCATCACAGGAGCATTACATCCTTGACTTCTAAAAAATTTAGACAAATGCACAGCTCAGTGTTACAGACACCCATGTACCAATTAACACTTTACAAAATATTCCATTGTAATACTTTCAAACAATAAGCTTTGTCCAAAGAGCAATTCCCTAATCCTCTCCTGTAATGATTTTTAATTATCCTGAAAATCTCTGAGCAGATTTGTGTGTGTGTGTGTGTGTGTGTGTGCAGAGTAGAACTCGAAAGATTGTGTCTACTATTAATAAAGATGGTTAAGTTATGGTTCTTTATCATGGCTTGCTATTTTCAAATATTTAAGGATAACCTAAATGTAATTTATTAGAAAACTTTAAATTTATTTGTATTTTAGGGTTTGAATATTTGATGATGAAGCCAGTTTGCAGGAGATGATTCTTATGGATTTTTTGAGTGGCGCTCTTTTAAGATGCAAAATAGGCTCATTGAAAATTATTGGAACTTAAAAAAAAACANCCCTACATCAAACTGAGAGTCCAGGGAAGTCATACCTCAGCCAAACCCAAGTAAATTGTGGTTTAATTACATTACAATACAATGCAATAGCAGAGATGGAAGGGACCTTGGAGGAGGTCTAGTCCAACCCCCTGCTTAGGCAGGAAACCCTATACCATTTCAGACAAATGGCTATCCAACATCTTCTTAAAGACTTCCAGTGTTGGGGCATTCACAACTTCTGGAGGCAATTTCTGTTCCACTGATTAATTGTTTTAACTGTCAGGAAATTTCTCCTCAGTTCTAAGTTGCTTCTCTCCTTGATTCTTGTTCGACCCTCAGGTGCCTTGGAGAATAGTTTGATTCCCTCTTCTTTGTGGCAACCCCTGAGATATTGGAACACTGCTATCATGTCTCCCCTAGTCCTTCTTTTCATTAAACTAGACATACCTAGTTCCTGCAATCATTCTTCATATGTTTTAGCCTCCAGTCCCCTAATCCTCTTTGTTGATGACATTATGTTGTCCTTGCTCTGCCTCCTGCCCCCGCTCACCAGAAAGGTCCCTCTCTCCCTCTTTTTCTATTAAGTATCAAAAGTACCGTAGTGTTGTCTGGTAGCGCTAGCAGTAATACCTGGTTCATCTGCTGCCTTTCCTTTCAAGGTAAGCAAACACCTCTCCAACCTACCTACTGACAAGAGGAGGGGAGAGGCATGTGGCCCAAAAACATGGCTCTCCCCCAGTGGTGAGATTCAAAAATGTTTACTACCAGTTCTGTGTATGTGGCTTGGTTTGGTGGGCATGGCAGAGGAAGGATACTGCAAAATCCCCATTCCCACCCGATCAGCTGGCGGGGCTAGTCAGGGGTGGTATTTACCAGTTCCCCCAACTACTCAAAATTTCCGCTACCAGTTCTCCAGAACTGGTCAGAACCTGCTGAATACCACCTCTGCTCTCCCTTCCTTTCACTGTTTTTCCTTTAAAAAAGAAAGACAGAATAACTTCATCAAAAAAATAGAGCACTTGATTTTTCAAAGTTAAAAAGAAAAACACTGTTGAAAGACTAAAATGTCTTGAAAACTTGACTTGCATGTTTTTTTTCCCCTGCGCTAGGTGAAATCGACAAGAATTCTGCCATTTTCTCCTTCTAAACCAAGCAACAGAAAAAAATGGTAAATTTTTTCTTCTCTCTGTGGTCAAAATTAGGTTAGCTGTTGGCTACCTCAGTGTTGGAGGTTGAAGTATTCCCACGAGCATTCTTGAGATTGGGGTGATGGACAAAGAGGGTTTATGGAGTAAATGCATAATGCTCTAGTAGCTACATCCCTCTGTCCCCTTGTGTATAGTAGGTCACGAGGCACTAAAAGTATTAGTGCTCTTGGAGTCACAACTCCAACTGCGAGGAAGATCGGGGCAGAACATGGCCATGATCACCACCATCATGGTCAAAGAGGAGGAACTTCTCTTTAGTGCCTCGAAACCCCTAGACCATGGGTGTCAAACTCAATCGCATCACGTGAGGTATCGCAAACGTTTTTTGCCTTTGCGGAGCTGGGCTAGGCATGGCCTGTGCATGATGCATCCAGCCTGCGGGCTGCCAATTTCACAGGCCTGCACTAGACAGTTTTGAATGGCTTTCTACCATTTCTTAAAGTATACTACTTCACTGTGCTTTACAGCCCTCTCTAAGTAGTTTACAGAGTCAGCATAGTCCTCCCAGAATTTCAGTCCTTGTTTTACTGACCTCAGAAGGATGGAAAGCTGAGTCAACCTTGAGCCAGTGAGAATCGGATTGCTGGTGGTCGTCAGAATTAGCCTGCAACACTGTATTCTAACCATTGCACCACTACAGCTCTTTAATGAGTTAAACATCTTTTGCTAATGAACTATAACTTGCTCAGGTTGCTGGGGGAAATATAATTCCACACATGTGGAAGCCTGGCTTAAGGAAAAGTGCTCAGCTCAGTTCCTCTTTTAGCTTCTTCATTTTCCTTGTTATTTGTCTGTATGCTCCCTCATCCCTTTCTATGATTCTTTCTCCAGTTTCAGAGCCAGTCGGCCACCAAACTCCACATTGCCAGCATCCTTACCTCTTCCCGCCTGGAACAGCCCCCGGACTGGCAGGGCGTCCTTTTCAAGAAAAATAACCGCACCGCTTCCTATCAGCACTGCTGGTGTGAGCTCAGAGGAAATCTTCTTATCTGCAGGGAACAGCCTGGAGACCGGGGTCCTTGTCACCTCATTGTGTTAGAAGGCTGTAGGGTGGAATTGCAGGAATCCACCTCGGAACCTCATACTTTTAAAATCTGCTACCCCGATGACTTGCCTGACCAGTCCTATAAGATGGCAGCTGAGGATCAAGAGACCATGGAAAACTGGATGCGAGTTCTGAGCATGGCGGGATTCGAGAACCTCAGAGCGTTGGTTACCGAGTTAGAAAGCCAATTTCACCAGTTGAAGAGCCAACAGTACTCTAAGGAAGAAGCAAGCTGCAAGGCAACAGAAAGAAGATTCTCCGACATGGATTTCGCTTGCCTCCATGTGGAATTTGGGAAGGATGTCAATGAGGCTAGGAAAAAGTGGCAGGAGGGAAAGAGGAAGCATGTCCCAGCACGGGAGAATTTGATGCATTTTATATAGGACAACCAGCAATCTCCAAACATTTGGCTGTGACCGAATTTGGAGGCAGCCAATTTCAGTTTCAGTGGAGTCAGTGTCAGTGAAAAAGATAATTCTTGTTTCAAAATATTGGTTCTTCTTTAAACACTTTTAATAAATGCATCTTCGGAAAAAGTTGGGAGCCGGGTTTGTTTGTTTGACTGAAATGCAGCAGCGTTCAAGAAGAACGAGATCTCTTCTTAGGAAAGGGACATTTGTGGGTTTCTTATTGTGGGTTTTATTTACACCAATGTCTAGTGAACGAAATCAGAACGAATCCAGAACGCAAGAGTGGTTCCCCGCCAGGATCTTTTCCAGCAAGGGTCAAAATACTGATTTCCAGTGAGGCAGGAGGGGGATCCACATATATTGCAGCCTGATCTATATTAGACCGCAGGGGCCTATTACTAACAAAAATGATCACAGCATCAGCCCTGAAGCTATTTTGGGAGCATCTTCAGGGCCGCCACAGCCAGGCATGTTGAAGCTGTGGGGATGTTGGGGGGGGGGAGATAAGAGAAAGCTGAGGGGGAAGTGTAGTCAAAATAACATTCTTCCCTGTGGGAGCCAAGGACACTATACCAGGTGTTGGAAGGGTGTGAACAAGAGCCAGCCGGAGCTGAGACTCTGACCTGATGGAACTATGGGATGGACTTGTGACCTGGGGGCAAGAATATGGGGTTTTGATTTGGGTGGGGAAAACTCCCGGTCCTTCAGAGTTGGATCTTCACCAGCTGTGCCAATTTGATATTCCTAATAAATTTACACTTTGAGGAAATTTTAGGCCTCAAGAGTTATGATTGCTGTGAGCCTGCTACTGGGAAACCTGATACATAGATTCCTAAATGTATGCTTAGAATAAAGCATGGAATCCAGTCTTGAAAAAAAGGCTACCTATACTGTTTTTTGTTGTCTGATACTATCCAGACAGCTGGGGCTACAACTGACAACTTCTAGCCAGGATAGCCACCAGGGTGCAGAGATGCTAATTAAACATGTATTAGCGATAGCGATAGCACTTAAGACTTATATACCACCCTATAGTGCTTTTACAACATTCTCTGGGTGGTTTACAAATGTCAGCATATTGACCCCAACAATCTAGGTTCACATTTTATCAACCTTTGAAGGATGGAAGGATGAGTCAACCTTGAGCCGATCAGGATCAAACTCCTGGCTATGGGCAGAATTAGCCTGCAATACTGGATTCTAGCCACTGCACAATAGCAATAATATGCCTCAGAAGGATGGAAGGCTGAGTCAACCTTAAGCCGGTGAGATTTGAACTGCCGTTTTGCAGCTAGCAGTCAGTTGAAGTAGCCTGCAGTACTGCACTCTAACTACTGCGCCACCTCGGCTCTTAATCATTAGTTGAGGTCAGCAGTATCCAGGTCAGAGGATCTTCTCTGGCCTGCTATCAAATACCACTGTAGATAAACCAGGGATGATGGTGTTTCCCCAATAATTATCTTTTTCTTCCATTGAGTGGAAATACTGTTTACTATGTATCGTTTATTAAGCATTTCCTCAAGCTTTACTACAAGTTGCAGCATCTGTGATGTTCTATCTTTATTTAGTTCAGCTTTGTGGGGAAAAAATACTTACTTCAGACTCCAAGAAGAGTCCACACCTTTTCTGAAGTCTGATTCTGCATAGAATCATTGGGCGATTCTAAGTGTAATCTTTATTGTCATTGTACTTAAATACAACAAAATTGGTTCTCAAGATGATCTCCCAGTAGTAGCAGATTAGAGTGCAGAAGATGTTATAATTTTGGGGTGCCAATGGGGGGAGTACTTCCTGGGAGTACCTGCTTTCCTTTTGCAGGAAACTCTTGACAGAAAGCAGAGATGAGATGTTGAATACTACTTATTCTGAAGTAAATCTCAAATCTTAAAGTTTTCTGTCCTGATTCTTAAACACAACAAAAAAGAATAAAACCGACCTGTTTACTATGACCCAACACCTAGCATACACTACTGTACTTTATTTAAAATTAAGGCAAATATATATATATGCAATATCAGAATGAAAATTTAGTGGAGGGAGTTTTCAGTTGGCAACAAAGAGAATAGGGTTCCCAAGATAATCCCAGTTTAATTATATATAATATATATAACTTAATTATAATTCCGGCATATTTATATTTTACTCCTTGTTTTAAGTTCCAGAATATCGTGCTTCATTTTCCTTTCCTACTTCTGGCATGTTTCCAATGAAACATGAACGCTCACAAAGGTGAGGGGAAAATGACTGTCCAGATGATGTCCAGCTATTAATTCCCCATTAGCTAGACTAGGGGTCCCCAACCCTTGGGTCGTGGTCCACTATCGGGCCTTGAGCCATTTGGAACTGGGCTGTGGAAATGGTAGGCAAGCTCGAGCAGTGGACCCGCATACCTAGTGCTCATGCAAGTGGGACTACACCTGTGCCATCCCCCCCCCCCTCCCGCCAGTCCGCAAAGCCAGAAAGATTAGGAAACTCTGGGTTAAACCGAAGGAGTTGACTTCAACATCTGGAGGGCTACAAAATCACAGAATGTATGGGCTAGGAAGAGGGGAAGGAATCTCATGGAAATTACTTGTAGAAAAAAGGGATGCAAAATATTTAGTGGTATCTTGCCACTTAACTGCTTTGAAACTCACCCAATTTGGTACTCATTTTGACGTGAAAATTTTGTCCCGAACTCTTTGTTTGGCACTCAATGTACCAGCTAGAATTTGTCCGTGTCAGCTGCCTTGTGACTTACATTATTCCTTATGGGAAAATTTTGTTTGGTACTTATTATTTTTGGTATTCATTACGCCTCCCGGAACCAAGCCTCCCAGAACCAATTATCAATGAGTAACAAGGTATTTCCTTATCACCTTCACAGCCTCCCTCCTAGTTAATTAGCCTAGCCTAATTAGACTCATAAAAATACTTAAGGAACTGCAACAGAAACTTGTGGAGGGGAATGCAAGTTCAAATCTCCAGTGACCATGGCAGATTCATCATACTTCATATTACTGATCAGCAGGAGAGCAAAGTGAAATTCCAGCAGGTACCCACCCAGGCACTATTCAAAGAACAGGATGTGCAATGTGTCCAAAGCATTGTAAAATGCTTCAAAAGGCTGACCCAACTGGAGGCTTTGCTATGGACCAAGACTTCCACCTGCCAGGCCTGTCCACAAGAGGCTTGGATGATCAGATCATTCATTTGGCAGCTGCCAAAGAAGCTGCAATCTCCCTTTCCATTTCCGACAGTTTTCCCTCTGAAGGGGAAAACAAATCTGGGATGGCACCATAAGAGTTGGAACAACCTTGGACAGGTTTAGGGGAAAAGCAGCCACTCTCACATCTCTATCCATTTTGCCCCCTGTCCTCATAGGGCATGGGATGAAATGTACAATGAGATGGAGTGTCTAGAAAAACCAAGTTTTAGCAAAACCTCTCTAGGGCTTGATTTCAGTCACAAATGTCAGTGAATGAAGTTAGCTGTCCAGAAAGAATTTGTCTGACTCCCAGCACAATCTGATCTATTTAGGACTAAATCTACGTCACTCTGGGTTGTCTGAATCCACTTCCCCCTGGTTAATTGAAATTTGTGTGGTACAAGCTTTCTGAACCAGGACTTCTTCAATAAACAAACCATTTCTTTCAATCTGAACCATCCCATAAAAATAAAGAGCTTAATTCAGAATAACAACATAACAGAGCTGTAACCTTGACACCTTCTAATTTAGCCCCCTGCTCTGGCAGGAAACCTACACTATTTCAGACAAACGATTGTTCAGTCTTTCCTTAAAAACCTCCAGTGTTGGAATTTCAGTCCAATTCATCCTTGGTTAACAAAGTCACTCGACAAACATGGTCTCTATTTTGTTTTGTTAACATTTTTAGACAAANGAACAGCTGAACTGCAGAACTGCAGTCAGCTGAAGTAGCCTGCAGTGCTGCATTTAACCACTGCGCCACCTCGGCTCATTTAACATTATGTGTATTAAGCTTATGGGCACTTTATTTTGGCTATCCTAATAGGATAGCCAAATAAGATTTGGAGCCCTAGTTGTTCTGCAAACACAAGGGTAATCTGTAAAAGTTCACATGCTAGAGTTTCCAGAGCTCCTTGCAGTAGAACATGTTGGCTTCTTCTTTTTGATTGACTAAGAAAATCAATGTCTTTTATATTATGAAATTGCAAAGTAATTAGTTCCTTTGGCGTGACAGGCCAAAGTTATTAGGAAAACTGAATATGTTTTTTGCTGGACAAAGAGAACCAAATATTTGTTGCAAGTCAACCAAATGTGTTGCTTTGGTGTTTTGCCTGGAAAATAATGGAAAATAGGAGTGGGGAGAGATTTCTCTGCATTTAAGGATTATTCTGTTATTTCTTGGTTCCCCTGTATTGATTTAAAAATTAATCAGCTAGAAAGAAAATAACCAAAGGCTAGATTCTACAAAACCACCTGGGAAATTTCTATGATATGTTTACCTGCATATCTCTATTTTTTTTCTCTGTTTAGGAAGTAAAACCTTCTATGGTACTCACAATGCATAAAAACCTCAATCTGGAAATTCTAGTCCAGAAATTAACACGTTTTACAAGAGACTTGTATAGGCTAACCTTTCTAACTAATTGCCCTCCAAGTATGTTCAACCAATCCCAGAGAATGTTAGGATTTGTGGACTTTAACCCAGATTTCCCCTTAAAGCTCACAAGGTTGAGGAAACCCTAGTGCATGTGATCTTAGTGTTGGGTAGTCAGTGTTTTATTCAGAGCTTTTCCAGCAGAAGGCAACAGAAGCCTGTTCTGCCTCAATGGATCCACAATCTGTCTCCCCAGCTCTGCAAAAGTTTAAGACTGCAAAAATGAGGTTAAGGGCTTATAACAGTCCATTCAGCATCTTAGAGCTCATCATCTCTCTGGTCTTTCCAGCCTGTTTAAAGTGTCAATTGGATTTAGCTCCCTGCTGAGGCAACATCCTCTTATAGAAGTGACGATGAAATGAAAATTGGGGAAATATGCTGGCAACAAATGTTTATGAATCAACAGATTGCCAGAATAACGGATAGAATTCAAAACTGAAGGAAACAGTTTCACCTCTAATGTTGGAATGATCAGATGAGATGTTAAGACTGGTGACATAAAAG